CAGCCCTGGTGCTGTGCTGCGAGGGGGCACATTGCACCCCACCCCATCCCACCCCACTTCATCCCATCCCATCCCATCCCATCCCACCCCACCCCATCCCATCCCATCCCATCCCATCCCATCCCATCCCATCCCATCCCATCCCATCCCCTCTCTGCTCCCAGGCACCTGTGGGTGCCAGGCTCAGCATTTTGGCACAGCTCGAGGCCCCCCGAGCACTTCGCTTGGGCTGACTTTGCTTTCTGCTGGTGGGAGCTGCTGGCTGGGGCTGCTGCCGGGGGAAAGAGAAGCAAGAAGGGCTCTCCTCGAACACCCCGCGCCGTGCAACAGGGTCAGTCCCTGCCACCCCACTTGGGACGGAGCCAGGTAGCCCCCCGGCCCTCGGAACAGACCCATCCCCAGCACCACCTCCCCGGCAGCGCTGCCGGGCCTGCCGAAGGAGCGGGGACGTGCTGGGCATGCCTGCTGTGCCCCTTGGCTTCCAGAGGGAATTCTCTGCCGTGGGGTAGGACAGGGCAGCGCTGATTTGTGGGGCTGAGGATCCAGCAGAACTGACTGTGTTGTTACCCCACCTCCCCTGCCTCCCTGCGCTCACACGCCGCTGTGAAATAATCCGGGAGCATGCTTCGGACTTCTGCAAATAAGGAAGTTGTTCTTTCACTTTTGTATTTAGATTTAACCCTTGACCAGGAAAAAAAAAACCACAAAACACCAAAACTTATTTACAAGTTGCCCTACATTTGTACGTGAATAAATAAATTCCCACACAAAAGATGAAGAGGATATATTTAAAACAGCAACAACAAAACTCCTTTACCTCTGTTGCTGGGGTCTGATTTCTGCTCTGTGGAGAGATCCTCAGAGCTCGGGAGCACCAGGGACAGAAACAGCTGCTGAGTTTCCCTCCTGCAGCAGGTGGGGAGGGCCTGCCTGCGTGGCAAAACGAAGCTACAACCTTCACCTCACCTCTACATAATTTCCAGGGACCATAAAGTCAGACATTCTTTATCTTCCTGAAGTTCTTTTCGACATTCAACACCCTCCATGTCCTCTGCAAGCACTGGGCCCTGCACGCTCTGTGCTCAAGCAGGTCTCAGTACCCGCGTTCCCCTGACTGGTCTCCTATATGACATGGCCATTTGTGCACTGGTTTGACCCTCCAGAAGAGACTGTGGGGCAAAAGGACACTTCATTATGTGCCTGGCTGGCCCTGCTGCCCGTTCACCTCAAAAAGGCTAGGGCAAGGGACATGCTGATGGCTTTTAGCAAGCCACAAAGCTTGCAATTGCAGCATCAGAGCTCTGTTGACCTGCCAGAGGAACTGGATCTCACCACACTCGGGCGGGACAGGCTATAGCCCTAGTACCTAGTAGGACTGAGTTTTGGGAAAGAGGGATGGCCACAGCACCCAGCTTACCTGGTTGGCAACACATGCAAAGCCAACTTCAGTGGGGGCTTTGCTAGATGAGGCACGAGGTAATGTGTGTGCCCAGCTGCTGGCAGCATGCCTGTCCTGTTCCCCATTGGTCCTGGAGGGAGCCTGGTGACACTCCAGGGGCAGCATCAGGTGGAGGATCTTCTGCCAGAGCCACATCCACCACTGCCAAAAACTTGCAGCCCTATGCTGGCCAGGGTGTTTTAAAATATTCATATACAAGGTACAAGGAAATGTTTCTTTTTAAAACAGAACAGTCTGTTAAGTCTCTTCCCCTTTTCACGTTGAACACAACACCAAGGCTGTGTTTATTTACCAGCTGCTCATTCTAACCACAGATTTACAGGAGCAAATTCACACTGTCACGAGCAGTTGAACGTGTTACTGGCTCACTCTGAAGGTGCTGAGTAAAGGCCTTGAAACACTGAGCAAAGCCAGTTAGCCAGTGAGCAGAGCCTGTTAGCTCGGAGGAGCTCCAGACAGTTCAGTATCGCATGTTGGCTCCATTACTTTTGTGTTCTCACTCATGGTCCTGCCTGAAGTATTTGTCGTTCAGGCTGACATTTCCCTCTTCTCTTACACTATGTGAAAACAGCCTCTTTTTGAAAGCTGAGACATTTTCCTCCAAGTTAAATTTCATGTTTCTGAGCCAAAGCCCGCAGAAGCCGCTACTGGGTGCTTTATAGTCTTAATTATGTGTTGCAGTAGATAGTTAGAAACTGAACTGTGAATACTAGAAAATACGAACTAGCGAGTGTGTAGGAGAAAGTGCTGCCAATGCTCTCACATCCATCGCACATATAATTGTATGTAACACAAGTAAAAACTAAAAATTTACACCTAAACTGGTTTGTCAGCCGTTTCTTATACAGAAAATAGTTATTTTTTTTCTGTTGCTGAACACTAGTTTTTCAGCTACCTTTGCAAAGCACCTATTTTGAAGGAAACCAAAACGCTTGATATCTGAAAGTTTCAAACCTACGGTGGCGTTTGGCTGCCTCCTGATTCTGGCCAACGCTGTGGCACGTCAGCCTGAACTCACGACGCCTACAAACACTTGGGATGCTCTTTCTAGAGAAGAGAAATGAAAACCCACGTGCAGCCTTAAAGGTGAATAAAAAACAGGATGATATCTTGATCCCTTCGCTGGTGAGCTTTCCTGTGCTTTCATGAGCACAGCTGACCACTGAGCGGGTCTGCAGCCAAAATGCTGCTTTTCCAGGAACTGGGATAAACAGCCACTAACTCCCAGGCAATCCCTGAATTCCACTCCTCTCTTTCCAAAACTCCCAACCTGAAAAGTGAAGATGGAGGAATGGTTTTGTAGATACACCAGTTGTCTGGGCATCTGGACAGCACCTGTAGCCTCACTTCCATGTCCCCAGCTGCTCCTTCCCTCTTCCCCTC